GCATAAGAGTGAAAACATATGGTATCTGTCTTTCTCTGTATGGCTTGTTTCACTTAGCATAACACTCTCCAGTTCCATCCACGTTGCTACAAAGGGCCATATTTCATTCTTTCTCATTGCCACGTAGTATTCCATTGTGTATATAAACCACAATTTCTTTATCCATTCATCAGTAAAAGCACCCCAATTCTAAGGGCTGTTGTGTGGTCATTGAAAAACCATTTAGTTATTCTAGTTTGGATACTGATTGTTCATAATTTGGGGCCTTTGGCTCCTCCCCAGCATTTAAGATTCTCAGTTAACCTATTTTCAAATCATTCTTTCTTTATTATAACTTATACATATGCCCTGGGAAGAAGAGAGAGAAATGATTATTAGCTTAGAAATGAGATTGGTCCTAGAATGATGGCTGTTTAACATTCTTTCCTAGAACCCCCTCGACACAGCAGCACCTGAAGAAGGTCTATGCCAGTTTTGCCCTCTGTATGTTTGTGGCGGCTGCGGGGGCCTATGTCCATGTGGTCACTCATTTCCTTCAGGTAAGAGCAGTGTCTCTCCCAGTTGCTGTGGCACAAATTGCATTAGGTTGAAACAAGCTCAGCAGGATGGTGCAAGCCTGTATCCCTCCTTAATCCTTTTCTGTAGTTTGTTATCTGAATCAGCAGAGCTAGCTGGTAAATAAGGACGTGCAGAGCCATTTAAATTTTTTGGCAGCTGTGCCCTCTCTAGAAACTGAAAACAGGATGTCATAACCTGGACACTGAATGATGGGCAGCTGACGTGTAAGACCCTGACACTATAACTAGTGACATGACGTGACTGCTGGGGTTTGCATGGTAGCCTTTTTATCTTTTCCTTCGTTCTTCCTCTTTTTGCCTGTAACTGGAGTTCTTACATGCAACACACTGATTGTATGCTTATCAGGAGAGGCAGGGTTGACACCTTGGAGGATTTGACCTATTTTATTCTCTGATGCTCTTATGTCTGCATGGTTGAGTAAAAACCTGCAACAACTCACTTTCCTGTGTTGAAAGAGACCTGGGGTTTGGCCAGTTAGAATAAATGGGACAGTTGAGGAATAACCAAAAAGTTTGAAGTTCTCACTAACCAAGACTTGTCCTTTCCAAGTGTCCTTTTTAGTGTAAGTACAGGGGGGTGTGTCTGTGTTGGCATTTGCCACTACTGAGAACTGTCCCTATGCTCAGGCATCTCCTGGCAGAGGTTGTGTGAAAAATTACTCTAGATACTCAAAGGATAAGACTTTGGTCCCTGGAGTTTAGACTAAAACATACTCCACCTTCTAGGCAAGAGTAGCCATTTTGGCTTCTGGTTGTGTGTTGGGTTTTTTGGTTTGTTTTTTTAAGTAATGTTAAAATGCAGTTATCCTCATTATTTATGTATTCCGTATTTATGAATTTATCTACTTGCTAAAATGTGTTTGTAAGCCTAAAATTAGTACTCACAGTGCTTTTACAGACATTTGCAGTCATAAGCAGAACCGCAAACAATTTGAGTTGCATATCTCGTGTTCCAGCTGAGGTTGAATGAGGCAACACACTGCCCTGTTTCAAGCTCTTGTACTATAAACAAGGATCCTTTTTGTTGGTCTGTGTAGTGCCACGTTTTTTGCATTTTTGTAATTTTGATGGTGATGTCAGTGTTTAAAGTGGACCCCAAGCATAGTGCTAGAGTGCTGTCTAGTGTTCCTAAGTGCAAAAGATGTTCCTAAGTGCAAAAAAAAAGTTCACTAAGACTGTGATGTGTCTTATGGAGAAAATATGTGTGTTAAATAAGCTTGTTCAGGCACGAGTTGTAGTGCTGTTGGCCATGAATTCAAGGTTAATGAATCAACAGTATATATCAAATAAAGTGTCCTTAAACATAAACACACGTAAAACATGTATTGTTCAGTTGAAGAAAACATAACCAGAGGTACGTGAGAATCTAACCCTTTATTTTCCTCAGGAGCATTTGTTCAGTATTCATTAATTCATTGTTCACAGTAACTTTATAGAGCATAACTATGAGAAAAACGAGGATCAGCTATACCTTTAAAGGAAGAAAGGAACTTTAGTCTGCACATACCTCCTTAATTATTTTCCTCTTTTTCTAGTGCCTGGCTTTTCCCACTTGGATTTTTTAAAGAATTTTTTATCTTCTTACAAAATTAATGCATGTTCATTGTAGAGAATTTGGAAAACAGACTAGTGCTGAGAAAGAAATAAAAACTCCTTAATCCTATCACCCAGAAATAACTGTTGACATTTTAGTTCTTAACCTCAGTCTCACTCCATTCAGACTGCTCTAACAGAATACCATAGACTGAGTAGCTTAAACAGCAAACATTTTTCACAGTTTGGGAGGCTGGAAGTCCAAGATTATGGCACCAGCAGATATGTTATGTGGTGAGGACCTGCTTCCTGTGTAAATAACTGTCTTCTTGCTGTGTCTCCACACAGTGGAAGAGGCAAGGAGCTCTCTGGGATCTCTGTTATAAGGGCACTAATGAAGTCTCCACCCTCATGACCTAATCACCTTCCAAAGACCCCCACCTCTCAAAATACCAGCACATTGGGGGTTAAAAGTTAAACATGAATTTTGGGGAGACATAAAAATCCAGTTTGTAGCACCCTCTTAGTCTTTTTTCTCTGTATAGGTATATATGTTTGTGTGTATGTGTTTTAAAGTTTATTTATTCATATTGAGAGAGAGAAAGAGAAAGAACAAGCTGGGGAGGAGCAGAGAGAGGGAGAGACAGAGAATCCAAAGTGGGCTCTGTGCTGAGAGCAGACAGTTTCATGTGGGGCTTGAACTCAGGAACTGAGAGATCATGACATGAGCCAAAGTCAGATGCTTAACCAGCTGAGCCACCCTGGCACCCCTGTGTGTGTGTGTGTGTGTGTTGTTGTTGTTGTTGTTGTTTTAATTTTTTAATGTTTATTTCTGAGACAGAGTATGAGCGGGGGAGGGGTAGGAAGAGAGGGAGACACAGAAGCAGGCTCTGAAGCTGACGGCACAGAGCCTGATGTGGGGCTCGAACCCACGAGCTGTGAGATCATGACCTGAACTGAAGTCAGATGCTCAACTGACTGAGCCACCCAGGTGCCCCTGTGTGTGTGTTTTAAAGTGATCAAAAAGAGGTCATTTCTACTTGTCCTACAGATTTGAATGTGCTTCAAGCACTTGTCACATGATCTTTTTCTTGGGCAAGAATCACAGTTTGCCTCAGGTAGTTGTGGCTGATAGACTACCCAGGTCAGAAGAGCCTCTAACACCCACCATAACACACCTAATCCCGTCTTGTAAGCCTTCTGGTTTCTCCTTACCCCTCTCTGCCTTTTCCACTTCCTCCAGGTTAGAAGCCAGTATTAGGAAGTTCAGATGAATATTTGATCCCAATAAGGTCTCCTCCAGAATACATTTGATATTTTCAAGTATTTAATTATTGACTCTGGATCTGACAGGCTGGCCTGCTCTCTGCCTTGGGCTCTCTGGGGTTGATGATTTGGCTGATGGCAACACCTCATAGCCGTGAAACTGAGCAAAAAAGACTGGGACTTCTTGCTGGATTTGCTTTCCTTACAGGTATGGTAAGGACTGGGCTAATTTGGGGTGGGAGTGGGTACTGTATCTAATGTATCTTTAGACTAAGGCCCAAGATTTGTGTGTATTCTCGTTAACCTCAACTGGCACTCTGTACTACTCAGTCTTGTATTTGAGTGTATTTTGTCTTGTATTGCTTTCTTAATTCAAAGAGGTACATCTTGCTTTCCCATCCAGAGGATAAGCTCTTTGTGACTACTGACTGTGACTTACACACACTTTTGTATCCCAAAATAAGCATTTATGTGTGTGAATGAATGAGATTCAAGAGCTTAGGTAGCATAACTAAGCCTGACAGTGGACTCAACACTGGCAACTCGTCCCTCCTGTGACCATCAATTCTGAACTTTGCTGACAGTTAATTAAAGCCGTACATTGAGAGCCATCCTACAGAGCACATTGCTAATTCTCAAGAAAACAGTTAAAAGCACAGCTCTTCTGCAATTATTATTAAAGGAAACAGGACTCAAGCTACATAGTAAAAATATTTGCGAAGCAGCATTTGACTCAGTACAACTCATTTTGAGCGTGTCTGTATAGTGTTGAAGTAGAAGGGAAGGGATTTAGAGATTAGGATTTTTTTAAATAGGGAAAGCTAGTTTGTGAAGGCATTAAGGGGTGGAATTATCAGAAGGAGAGAGTGTAGCAAGAGTAGAGGAAACGTTGGGGCTGGAACAGGTTGCCACTGCACCCTCCTCTTGGCCAGTGTCCACTCGCAGAACCGGTCTGGACTTTTCTATAAAAGGAGTCAGCCCTGAAAGACTACAGGTTGCTGGCCACAAGGCACTGGTTTGCTCTTGATCCTTCTCTTCTGATTCCTGATCTGGCCTACATTCTAGTCTCACATCACTCCTCTTCAGAGTATTGCAGGCTTACAGTTTAACTCAAAAAAAAAAAAAAAAAAAAAAAAATTTTTTTTTTAACTTATTTTTTGTTTAATGTTTATTCATTTATTTTGAGAGAGGGAGGGGGACTGAGAATCAGCCCAGAGCCTGATGGGGGGCTCGAACCCACAAACTGAGATCATGACCTGAGCCGAAATCAAGAGTCAGTTGCTCAGCTGACCCAGCCACCCAGGTGCCCCTAGCTCAAAAATGTTTGATATGCCTGCTTCATTTTTCCTAATCCGTATTCATCCTGGGTCATCCAAGATTTTCAGCTAAGAGGACAGTTTTGTAGCTGTGTCTATAAATAACTCAGTCAAGTATATGTTCTCTGGAAAACAAGGAAGATGGAGAAGAGAGAGATTTAATTACTTTAGTACACATGTTTGTTTTTTAAGAGCAGGGCATGTCTGCACTTTTGATGGTCAACTTTTGTACAAGGGTCCTCTTCAGGAGTTGATGGTAATACTGTGTTCTGGGGCTTTTTGTTTTCTAGGAGTTGGCCTGGGCCCTGCTCTGGAGTTGTGCATTGCCATCAATCCCAGGTAACTATTTTAGTAGCATCTTATGTCTTTTTATCATTGCAGATACGCTTTCTAAATAGGTTTGCAGACCTGTAGCCCTCAGTCTAATGGTCTTTTCCTCTAACAGCATTCTTCCCACCGCCTTCATGGGCACAGCAATGATCTTCACCTGCTTCACCCTGAGTGCACTCTATGCCAGGCGCCGCAGCTATCTCTTTCTGGGAGGTAAGTGCAGACTGAAAAACAGAGAGAGGGTCTCCGCTTTAGCCGGAATTCTCACTGGGACTCTTTGCCTACCCTCCAACTTCTTGTGACTGTTGGGTTGAAATTGAAAGTCTTAATTTGGGGGGAAACGTAAGGAATAGCTTTTTTTTTTTTTTTTTTTTTTTTTTTTTTTTTTTTTTTTTTTTTTTTTTTTTTCAACGTTTATTTATTTATTTGGGACAGAGAGAGACAGAGCATGAACGGGGGAGGGGCAGAGAGAGAGGGAGACACAGACTCGGAAACAGGCTCCAGGCTCCGAGCCATCAGCCCAGAGCCCGACGTGGGGCTCGAACTCACAGACCGCGAGATCGTGACCTGGCTGAAGTCGGACGCTTAACCGACTGCGCCACCCAGGCGCCCCAGGAATAGCTTTAATGAGGTTGCCTTACTTTGCTTTGGCTTTTCCCAGGACGGCATTTTGTCCTCTCTTGTAGGTGTCTTGATGTCAGCCATGAGCCTGATGCTCTTGTCTTCCCTGGGGAATCTTTTCTTTGGATCCATTTGGCTTTTCCAGGTGAGACTTTACATATAACTTCCAGCAGCCATTTGCCTTGCGCTTCTTTTTCTTGCTTCACCCTAAAGCAAGGTGGACTTAGAATCTTCCAGAAAGCTCACTTTCATTGGGCAGTGAAGAATTGTGCCTAGGGAAGCCATGTGGTTTCCACCATAGACTTCTGTTCCCATGAATGTTAATGTCATTCATTAGGCTTAGCATTTGTTGTACTTTCAAATTGCCAAGAGCCAAGAGCCAGAAAGAGGTACAGCTGGTTTTTTCCTCTGTGGCATCTACCACACAGTCACCCATCTCATTCTTCTTGTGTTAGGCAAACCTGTATGTGGGGCTGGTGGTCATGTGTGGCTTCGTCCTTTTTGATACTCAACTCATTATTGAAAAAGCTGAAAATGGAGATAAGGATTATATCTGGTGAGTGAAAACTGGTCTTTAACGCCTCCCTTTCTGTCCCCGTGAGTAGGGTTAAAAGTGGACTAGGTGGCCCTATCCGAACTTAAGTGGCCAGCCTCTGGGAGTGTATATGGTAGGATACCCATGCTTTTGGAACTGTATACCAAATAGCATAGTCTCCCTCAATTCCTGAAATACCTCAGATCTTTTAAAAATTGAATTAATAATACGCATTTAATTATCCTTACTTTTAAGGCATAGGACAGGGAAAGGGATCTTTCTTCACCTTTTGCTCTATATTTTTGTATTTTTTTTAACGTTTGTTTATTTTTGAGAGAGCGAGAGCAAGCAGGGGAGGGGCAGAGAGAGAGGAGACAGACACAAAATCTGAAACAGGCTCCAGGCTCAGAACTGTCAACACAGAGTCCCAATGCAGGGCTTGAACCCACGAACTGGGAGATATGACCTGAGCCAAAGTCGGACGCTTAACCGACTGAGCCACCCAGGCACCCCTATTTTTGTATTTTTTAAACCTTTAACCATGAGAAGAAGAAACACATTCTTTTTTTTTTAAATGTTTTTTTTTTTTTTAATTTTTTTTTTTTTTTAACGTTTATTCATTTTTGGGACAGAGAGAGACAGAGCATGAATGGGGGAGGGGCAGAGAGAGAGGGAGACACAGAATCGGAAACAGGCTCCAGGCTCTGAGCCATCAGCCCAGAGCCCGACGCGGGGCTTGAACTCACGGGCCGCGAGATCGTGACCTGGCTGAAGTCGGACGCTTAACCGACTGCGCCACCCAGGCGCCCCAACACATTCTTAATATATACATTTTTTTTAACGTAGTAATCCTCTCAGAGTTTCTTAACTAGTTAATGGTAGTTCAGGGTTCAGATATAGGCCCCTGCAGAGTCTAAAGCTGAGTTTTTCTTTTCCCTGTGCTGCATGGCTTTGTTGAGTTGTAAAGGATCTCAGACACCAGAGTTTTACTTAGTTGGTGGTTCGGTGAAGCTCACTTGTGGGGTAGACACAGGGTTTTTATGTCCTGCACCTCTGTGGACTGTGGATAAAGGAAGGTGGGAAATGCCAACTTATAATGTGGTTCTTCTGTTTCAGGCACTGCGTTGACCTCTTCTTAGATTTCATTACTCTCTTCAGAAAACTTATGATGATCCTGGCTATGAATGAGAAGGTTAGTCAGCCTACCACCTGAAGATGAGAGAATGGCTCCTGAACTCAGCATCTATGTATACTTCAAATTTGAAAACTTGAAGTGTGTAGGTCCAGGTTAACTGTAAGGCCACCAGAAGTCTTTAGCCAAAGGAGAAAAAGGAACAAGTAAAACAACTCCCTTAAAAAAGGGGAGGGTGGGGGTGGAGGATCCCTAGTGTGGGACTCTTGACCTCAGGGTTGTAAATTTGAGCCTCACATTGGGTGTAGTGATTACTTAAAAGTAACAAAACTTAAACAAAAAACCAGATCTCTGAGATTAGTATCAAATGAGAAAAGGGCTTCAGTGGCACCAAGAAACAGTCTACTATATAAAGAATTTAAAGGCTGTGAAGATGGTTATGACTCAGGAAAAGATATTCTAGGGAATTTGTTTAATCTTGGCAATCAGCTTTTATAAATGTGTGTCAGAAGTAGACCAGTTTTATCCGGTTGTTAGTCTTGTTTCCAGAGAAGCATTCTGTATATGGTTAGTGAGTGCCATACATAGTCTCCTCCAGCAGTAGGGGAACAAATGAAATCATGAGGTGTTTTTTTTTTTTACAGATCTTACTAGGAAACAGGAGACAGTGTGATGCTGGTGGAAACAGATGAGTAGGTGGGATTGGTGGCTCTGTCTTATTTGTGTGGCGACTAGACTGAGCTCCAAGCAGGTTTTAGGCAAAGCAACTCAACTTTCATTTGTTTAATACACTGGGCTTCCACCGAGGATTGAATGACGTGTTCACTGGACTAGATCATTTCTGGGCATTGGTTTGTGCCCAGGATTTATGCTTCTCTGGCTTAATGGAAAGTTGGTCTTGGCCTCTTGTTGGAGTTATTTTGGGGTGGACTGCCAGTCTGCAGCTTTCACTGGATGAGATCCGAGCTGTGGTAGTTATGAGTAAGCCAGGAGTGGTCAGGTGGCCCAGCTGGGTGCTCTTGGAGTGGAAGCGGGGACAGCTGCTTAACTTTTACTCCTGTCAGGTCTGTCAGCAACTTGAGGGACCACCAGTGGAAGATGGTTAAGATCCAGTTCCTCCCTCACGGAGGAAGCATTTCTCCTCTCTTTTTATGGTCTTGTTCCCTTCCAGTCTCTAACCGAAGGTAGCCAGGTATTGGCTCCCTCAAGAGTTTTAGCTTGAATGCCAGATGCCGAAAATTAATTGGGCGATTTTTCTCCATTTCTAGGACAAGAAGAAAGAGAAGAAGTGAAATGACCTTCCAGCCTTGTCCAGTTTGACCTCCTGTCCCTCCACCCCTCATTTCCTCTTCGCACACATTACAGGTGGTGTGTTCTGTGATAATGAAAAGCATCAGAAAAGCTTTTGTACTTTGTGGTTTTCTCTACTTTGAATTTTTTGATCAAAAAACTGATTAGCAGAATATAGTTTGGAGTTTGGCTTCGTATTCCTGGGGTTCTTCCCCACTCCCTTTTCTGCCCAGCCCAGTCCTAGCCTCTTCCTCTGCTCAGGCAGCCGGTCACCATGACGAGGAGTGGGACCCACAGCAGAGCAAACTCCAGGAGTCCACTTTCCAGCCGAACTTCGCCAGGTGCACCTGAACTGGTAGAGCCGCCTCAGCCCTTTGCTCAGCATCGTTTGGTTTGTGCACAGTTCCTGTGGGACTAGGCAGTGTGTTTCCCATTGGAAAGGAGTTTGGTGGTCCCGTTTTTTTTACCCAGGCTCACTGTATCTGAGCTTCTGTCAACACCTACAAAGAAAATGAAGAGCCTCTCCTGGTGGATGCTTTGCTTCCTCTGAGCTGCCCAAGCTGTTGCTGGTCTGACAAACACATCTCTCTGCCTTGCTATCCTAAAAGGAGTGTGGATTTATGTGTTCCTATTCCCCATCCCTTGTCTGACCGTTGGGGAATCTGCCTGTTTCTATCCGTGAGGAGGGAGGATTTCAATACAAAGGAAAGACTGATTCTCGTCAGACATTTATGAAAAGGCTGGTTATGTATGGCAAGATAGAGTATAGAATTCCCTAACTTCCCATCTTTATTTTGGTCATCACCTTAGTTGTTGAGTGGCTTCCACCACAGTGACTTTGATTGAAGATCCCAGGAGAGGAAGGATAGGGAAGGAACATGGTTGAGCCTGGGGGTAATTGTAAACTAATTCTGCCAGGCAGACCTAGATAAGGACCTGTTTGGGGCAGTGGGGGAGAAAATCGCTGCTAACTGAATGGTTCTTTGTTCAGATCAGCAGAACTGGGTGGTGATGACTTAGGCAGCATTCATGACAGTCCAGTGCATTTCTGTCTTCCGCCTGGACGCCAAATAATGTCAGGCCAGAGATTCGGGGCAGTAGATAAACATTCATTTTACAGATGCACTTTAGTTTTGGGGCTGTTCACCTGTTCCCAGAAATCTGTAGCCTTCCGGGTGGGGACTAGGTGATCAAACCTGTAACACCTCTAATTCCTTTCAGCTTTGTGGTTGTGAGTGAGGGAGGGCGATACCAATGGGGATCACCAGCTCTTTCCCAGGGAGCTGCCACAATCAGCGGGCACAGAAGGGCAGGCAGCCTCGAGAGCAGGTGTGACCCTGACTACTCACAGGGCCTCAGTGTAAGGGGGACTGAGCCATCAGGAGTCCACTGCCAGGATGATACCACCTTTGGCTCTCCCTGTTCACAACCAGCACGCAGTTTGACCTGGTGGCTGCTGGTTCGCAGGGCACCGCATCCCCGGGCCACCCTGTGAAAAGATTTGTTCCCGGGGTGTTGGTATTCCTAGAGTGCCATGCTGCCCAGAATGGCTTGCTTCTGCAGAGGATGCTGCCCTCTGATTTAGCTGCCGCCTCCAGCCTCTGGCTTGAGAACTTACTAAAGGGACTTCCTTCCCATTACCCCCCCGCCCCAGTAGCACTCTCCATAAATTTGTTGATTCTCTGCTAGGCCTGAGAATCTGAGTTACATCTCTTGAAGCCAAACTCCACCTCTTATGCTTTTTTGCTTGGGATAAAGGAGTTTTTCTTTAGAAACAGTGCCAAGAATGACAAGATATAAAAAACTACTTTTAAAGAAAATGTCTAACAGGTTTTTAATACAGTAATCACTGTAATTATCACTTTCTTTTCTAGTTCCTTGGTTTTCAGCTCAGGCTGCATTCTCTAACTCATACTGTGAAGACAAAGGTGTTTTTGATTCAGAAATATATGAAATCAACATAGTCTTAATTTGTAAAAAAAAATAAAGAAAATTCCTTAACCTTTCCTGGTGTAACTGTGTGTTACGTTCAAGGCCACAGCTGAACATGGGCTTGGGTACTGTCTGACTTGCTGAGTGGGGCCTGGGAGTGGAACAGATTTCAAGTTTCTGCTCTAGACTTAGCAGACTGGTAAATAAAGAAACAGGGACCCCCGTTAGGCCTCCCATTCTGTAGCTCCAGCTTGCTACAAATGTTGGGAATTTCCTGTCCAATATATAGCCCGGGCCCTTTTCCAGTCCTCCCCCTCCCCAGCCTTTAGGTGCTTTGTGGTAGCAGCTACATGGCTCTAGTGAATGCCAACCTTTGGAATTTGGTGATGCATAAACGGGAAAGGCATCATGATCTACTCATTCTGCACGTCTTTGGTCACCTGCTATGGCCAGGCTCTATTGTAGGTGCTAGGAAAATTTTCATCAGTGAAAAATATAAAAATCTTTGTCCTCAGAGTTTATGAGATTATAAACCTGTTTGCATTACAATCAGGTTATGCCATTTTGGCATGCTTGCTCTCTGGTTACTGTGTACTTTGTAGACACAGAAGCTTCCTCTTAGGATCTGTTAACCCTGACTGGTTCAAGTTATGCGCAGTTGACCTCTTGGATTCCCCATACCCCCATCCCAGCCAAGGTTAGCCACTTTCCCTGACTTGGAAAGTATGCCTTAAGTTCTCAACCGTTTCTGTCTTGCAGACTCTGAAAAACTCCAGTGTCAAATACTTTTTAAAGCATTACTATTTGGGGGGTGTTGCCTTTATCTACAAGGCACAACGTAGTGCTTAACGATAAATCAAGCACTGCAAAATGCTTTGCGTGTTTTGTTCACTACTCCCAATAGCCTAAGAAGGTGGTATATTTACCACATATGATCAATAGCTTCCAGGGTCATGACAGCAGGCTGTCTCCAGAGCCCCTGGCTCTTCATTGGTGCTCTGTATAGGCAACACTACACCGTGTTAGTGCCTCCTGGCTGATGTTATACTTCCCATCCTGACCTTCATCCTGGCTAGGGCTCCAGCTGTTTGGGGTGGAGAAGGGGATCCCCATCCCCAATCGTTGTCACCAGAGTAGCAGCATGAGCTCCCTTTTAGTCTCCAGCAAGCCCGCCAAATACAGATCAGACAGGAGAGATGAATGCATAGCTCAGTCCATGCCTAGTGGAACTGCAGGCCTGACCTACAGTGAAGAAGGCACTGGTGGAGGGCAGAAGTGGAAGGATGTGTGCCCTGGCAAGAGAACATCTGCCCTGCCTGCAGGTGATTGGATGAGGGCACCCGCTAGGCAGCAGGCCATGCACTGGTCCCCCTTGACCAGAGGTAAAGATGGATAGGGCAGTAACTGCTTTTTAGTCCTTCATGGCTGAGCGGCGCAGGAGAGTTACACGGAGACGTTAGTTATGTGCTTACACGGGTGTAAGCACAGTGACCATGAGACAATAGTGGGAGACCTCCCTGCCTGGCTGTTCAGGTAAGTGTTTTGGAGATGACACCTGAGCTAAAGCCGAAGCTCCAAGATTGATTTAATATGAGACAGTTGGTGAGGTTAAGACAGGCAAAGGAGGACTGGATGTTTCCAAGTGGAAGGGTTAGTATGAGAACAGGCCCAGGAGTGTGACTCAGCCTGGGGAGGTGCTGGACCAGCAACGTGTTAGGTTCTGCTGTGTTTTGGTTAATTTTTTTTTGAGAGAGGAGAGAGAGCGTGAGCACGAGCAGGGTAAGGGGCGGGCGGGGGGCGGGGACAGATGATCCCAAATTGGCTGTGCTGACAGCTGAGAGCCCAATAGCAGGCTTGAACTATGAACCAGGAGATCATGATCTAGGCCAAAGTCTAAGGCTTAAGTGACTGAGCCACCCAGGCACCCCTCTGCTGGGTTTTGAAGTTTAAAGAGACTGCTAGGAAGTGGGAGGGAGGGGCAAACGGAAACAGTGACTGAGGACCTGATGTGCTTAGAACTGGCTTGGTCCTGAGGGCAACAGGAAGGACTTTGAGCAAGGGAGTGGTCAGATTTGCATTTTTACAACTCTGGTGATTGGAGGACGGGGTTGGGTGCAGCTGAAAGGCAAAGACACTCTGACACCCAGGTTGTGGTCTTTCTCATTTCCCACTAAAAAGAACCAGAGCTCCTGGGGCAAGTGGTGCTGAGACGTCTGTAGATGTGCAAGATGCACCTGGAACATAATGCTATGGCAGGAAGTAAAGAAGCTATAAAAGATGGCTGGTATAATTGACAAGGATGCAGGGGCTAACCCGAAGAGGTTCCTCCTGGCTAACGATAGGATCATCTGAGCATCAGTGCAAGTGCAATGTATTGAATTACAAGTGCAATGGATTGAAATCAAATTTTTTAAATCTCTAAGTTCATGATGATATTTTTAAAATAGTGGGAAAAAATTTTTAAAAATAAAATATTGGTCACCTTTGAAGGATGTTAGAAATAAGTGACTTCTGAATACTTGTTAATAAAGGGAAAGAAGCATTTATCTTTTCTGTATTAACTGTACTTCAGGGTAATCAAAAAGTGAAAATTTCTCTCTATAGAGATATTCCAGCTAATAGATAATGGAATTATAGAGTTAATTTATCACTATTTTGTAAACCTCTAATGAAATAATTAAGCTAGGCAATAATAATCGACAGCTTCAACATCATATGAAGAGAGACAACCAGGGGCACCTGGGTGGCTCTGTTGGTTAAGCGTCCAACTTCGGC